CAAAGAGGAGACAGTCAGCAGGCATCATTCTCTGTAAGCAGTGGCCAGCTACTCCACAGCCTAGAGAGTCTTCTCAAGTCATTCTCAGTAAGGAGTGGTCAGCTACTCCATAGCCCATGAGAGTCTTCTCAAGCACTAACTGTGACCTGTGCTGCTCAAAAGAAAGAGCCCCTGCCTGGGAGGAGCCCCTGCCTATGGAGATCTTCTTCGTTGGGGGAGCCTCTGACTGGGGGGAAGCCTCTGACTAGGGGAGCTCCTGCCTGGGAGGAGCCCCTGTCTGGGAGGAACCTGCAGTTGTCCAGCCCACTAGTGGATCTGGCCCCCACTGAATTTTGTCTGATGAAGGGCAGAGTGAGAATTGGGACAGCGAGTTTGTCAGAGGAAAGGCCACAGTTGTTTCCTTCTGGATCCCTGGAGATGAGAGGGGGACCTGGTGGGAAGACACAACTTAGGAAGGTGCCTCTCTGAATAAAGGTCTGAGAGCCTTTTCCTATTAAGAAGGAGCATGGTAATCCCAGAAAGCGAGTGATATGGGATTCTGCTGTGGGACTCTTTAAATTCCCATGGCTCGAAGACAGATCTAATACTCAGACCAGAGGGAAGACATGTCTTAAGGCAAAGGAAGGCAATTACACATGGGGTTCAGGGACGCATTCTATATAATTTAGGCAAGTAGAGAGCTTTTCTGTTTGTAATTTAAAAGAGACTTCCCTCTGAGAGCCTAAAGGGTCACATGAATTAGAATAATTTGGAGAGCCCTTTGGTTGAGGAGTGCCATAATGTATTTGTTTAATTCACAGCAGGTCATGGCCTGTGGTTGTCAGGGAGAACATTTTTGTGTGTTTTACTTTGAGACTAGAATGTTGAATAAAAATAGTAAAGTAATTCTTAAAGACCATAATTCACACAGCCACTTGAGTATTGAGGCCTGCCTTGTTTCCCTGCAAAATCAAGATTAAGGGGACTGGAAAATGAGTCAGAATACAATGGCCATTTTTTTGGTCCTTTTTTTTTTTTTTTTTTTCAGAGGTGGTTTGTTACATACTTTTATTAGTTACTTTTCTGGTGCTCTACAGTAAACTACTTTGAAGAGAGGTTATTTGGGCTCACAGTTTGATGGTACAAGATGTCATGATGGGAAAGTCAAGACAATGGAAGCTTGAAGCAGTAGGTTACCCCGTGTCCTGGGTCAGGAGGAGGACAGTGATGAATGCTTGTACATGGCTGGCTGTCCCCTTTGTGGGAAGTCCTGGGATCCCAGCCCAAGGAACAGTGACACATACTTTCAGGATGGATCTTCCTCCTTCAATTAGCTCACTCTAGATTTATATTTCTCTCAAAGGAGAACTTAATCTAGATAACCCCTCACAGTCATGCCCAGGAGATAATGTGATCTAGACAATTCATTGCAGGCTTGTTAACAGGCTTACATCCTGGGTAAGCCTAGGTCCTGTCAGGCAGACAGTCAATGTGAACTACACATAGCAATAGAGAACCAGGATTTTACCACTTAAGTCATCCTATTTTGTGAAAGTTAGTTTATTTTCAGGTTAATTCACTACTAATCATACTGTAAAAACATATTTGTACATATTCTATACAGATATCTAATGATTTCTTCAGCATAAATTCCATTAAACAGAATTATGAGGGCCACAGGTCTAAACAAATATTTTAAGATTCTGCATAAGTATTGCCAAATTTCATTCATGAAAGATTGTGACAAAGTACAGTCCACTTGTACTAGCAAAGTAAAGGGTATGTCTATATTCACCACCTCTTCAACATGGATAATCAGTACTTTAAAAATTAGTAATCAAGATACTCCCAAAATATTACAAGCTATTGCTGTTGCTCTTGGTTGCCTTCCAGAGGTGAAACTATGGACATTTTTTTTTCATGTGTATGTCTGTAGTCTGTTTTGTATAATGTGTTCAAATGTGTGCGGATGCATGGGTGTATGCAGGCACATGGTGTCGAGGCCAGTTGATGTCCTCCTTGATCGTTCTCCACCTATATGTTGAGACATAGTCTGTCACTCATACCTATGGCTTATCAGTTTGGCTAGTCAGGCCAGCCAGCTTGCTCTGCTATTCCTGTTTCAGGACACGGGATTACAGGTGGACTGTCATGGCCACACAGCATTTACCTGAGTGTTGGGCATCTGAAACTGGGTTGTCAGACATGTTAGATGAACACTTTACTCATTGAGCCATCTCTCCGGCCCCATTGTGGCCATCTTTGTGAGGACATTGTGTTCAAATTTCATCAGAATTTTTGGGTTGGTTAGGTTTTTTTTTTCTTTTGTTGTTGACTTGACACAAACTAGAGGCATCTAAAAAGAGGGAAGCTCAACAGAGAAAATGTCTCCTCCAATTGGCCTGTAGGCAAGTCTGTGGGGGTGTTTTCTTAATTAGCGATTGATGGGGGAGGGCCTAGCATACTGTGGGCAGTGCCAATCCTGGGCTGGTGGTCTGGGTTCTATGAGAAAGCAGGCTGAGCAAGCCTTGAAGACCAAGCCAGTAAGCAGCACCCCTCCATCCTCTCTGGATCAGTTCCTGCCTTCAGGTTCCTGCCTTGACTTCCCTCAGCCATGGACTGTAAGCTGTAAGATTGCTTTTGGTCATGGTGTTTATCACACCAATGGAGAGCACACTAAGACTGTTTTCCTGCAACATTTAAATACTCCAATTAACTAGGCGTAGTGGTGCACAGGTTTGGACCCAGCATTCAGAAGCTGTCTGATCTCTGTGAGTTGGAGGCCAGGCTGGTCTGCATAGTAAGATTCTGTTTAAATAAATATATGAATAAATGCATGCTCCAAGAACATGTGTGAAATGCTTGCATCACTTTATTAGAACCACACAATAATCGAATGTTTCAAATTCATTTGACAAGAAATATTATAATAAATAGAACATAAATAAATATAAATAAGCTCATATACCTTCACAAATATAAAATATAACAATAAATACTTTTAAATAAGTGGTAATGAGTGTTTTCATAAACACTTTGGTACAAAATAGTAGCTTATCAGATCTTGCACTACTGCTGACTCATTCAGGGAGGACATTTTCTATCCTTAAGATTTCCATGAAAACTTACAAACAACAATGTGCATAGTAAATACAAGAGGCGTGATTAAGGGGACCATGATGAGATAGCGGTGGCACCTTTGGTAGAGCTAGGAGAATGGGGAAGGAGCTTATGTTCAACCAGGCCAAGACCTCCTGGTTCTTAACCCACTTCTTATTAAAATGTCATTGGTTCAAATTTTTGTGAAAAGGGCACTTAGTGGGAGGGGCTTGAGCTTTTCAGGAGGAATTCAGATAGCTCATCACTCTGTTGATAGTCACAGCACGGATGCTGAAAGCCTGTAGTAGAATGCAGAGCTTCATTTTCACTTTGTAGGGATCACCTTCTTCCTGGGAAGGTCTCTGGGGCAGAGTCTCACCATTGAGATTCAGAGCCTAAAATGAAACACCAAGCATAACATACATACAATTTTAAAACGAAAACATTCGCCTACAAACATGGATGAAGTCAATGCACCATCCAGCACCTGCAACTTAGTCCCACCTATACTCTTAGACCCACCCCACATCTACCCCTGGTGCGATATTCCTGCTCCTTTGCAAGCACACCTGTCTGTAATGAACTCTGATATGACCCCTAAATGACTCAGAAAAGTCAGAATTAGGGCTTGTCTTTCAGAAGGTCAGAGTCTATGAGATGACATCTGTAGCAATAGCTGATTAATTTTTATAGGTTACGTTAAGAATCCCAGTCCTTTGAGAAGAGAGAGCTGGGGGGAGTCTAGTGATTAGAGCTCTCTATCAGTAACAGAGCTGTTTGTGATAAAAATGCTATTTGTGTTAGATACACAAACCAGCAGCACATTTCCCACTCATTCCTTTGATGTGGTAGAACACTATGCCACTGAGCTACATTCCCAGACTCCCTTTTGATTTGGAGACATAGAATAAGAGCTTATATTTATACAAAGCTTGCTATTCTTGCTTGCTCCTCACAAAGATCCCAAGAGAGAGGGAGGGTGTCTGAAGTCACCCCATTTTACAAACAGGCACATAGGCGTTAACTCTGATGCACAGTTATTTCTGGTAGCCCTCTTTCTCCTGCCCCCATCACCTGACCTCTTGTACATGCAATATCAATTATAATTCTCCATATGGTAGATTGTTTGACACATGTATTAATGTCGCTGTCTTTCAAACAAGTAATCTGGCAATGTATATTGTACTGGCTAGTTTGTGTTAACTTGTCACAAGATAGAGTCATTTTGGAAGAGGAGAACATCAGTTAAGAAAAACACCTCCACTAGATTGTCCTGTGGATAAACCTATGGTCATTCTTGATTGATGATTAATGTGGGAGGCCCAGCTCACTCTAGGCTGGTGGTCCTGGATACTATAAGAAGACAGGCTGAGCAAGGTTCCTCCACATCCTCAGCCTCTGTTCCTGCCTTGATTTCCCTGGGTGATGGACTCACTACAAGTTACAAGATGAAATAAACCCTTTCCTCCCCAACTTGCTTGTGGAAACCATAACCAAGACAGTATATAAGAAATGAAAAAGAATTCAGTTGCTTTTCAGACAGTGACTTCTGGACATATTTTCATCTCATGCCCTAGTTACCAAGGCACTCAGCTCTCTTATGTGCATATTTCTGTGGTTTGTGCTACCATCTACAGCAAGTTCCCATGAATGGGTAATCCTGTGGATTTCCCTAGATGATAGATGACTTTTCATTTTGTTCAAAATTATAACTGGACACCAGCCCCTTTTGATTTCACTAGTCATGTTTGGGTGTGTGTGCAGCCCTTGGAGTGTCAATTATGCATTAAAAAACATGTGTACATGTGTATGTGTGTTATATGCACACACACTCATATGCACACATAGCAGATATATGATCTGTGCCTACAACATGCAGAAGCCAGAGAAGGAGGTCCTATGTTATTCTCCATTTTATCCCTTTGAGGCAGGGTCTCTCTGAACCTGGAGTTTTATGGCTAGACTTGTAGCAAAAAAAAAAAAAAAAGCCTCAGTGATCCTCCTGTGTCCACTCTGAGGTTACAGGCTGGTTCAAGACCATACCCTGTTTGTTGCATATGTACTCCCAGCCAAACTCAAGTCCTCATGGTTGCACAGCCAGTGCTCTTAATCACTAAACTGTCTCTCCAGTCCTGGACCCTTAAGGGAAATAAAGCATTTTTTTTTAAAAGCAACCCTTTTTGCAGGGGACCCTAGTTCTGCCTCTTGCTTGCAGGCTGTGTGATCTCAGATAAGTGTCACTGCTCTCCTTTGTACAGATCTTATTCGCTTGTTGTGGGGACGGCATGAGAAAAAAAATTGCAAAGAGTCTGGTGCATAGCATGAGGTCAACAAGCAGAAGGCTGCTTGTATTTGCCCTGACTGTAGAGGATTTCCTCAAGGCTGTGGGGATGGGGGTGGGGGTGGGAATGGCTTCAGGTTTCTCCTGACCCAAGAAGGACACCTTACCTGCATCAGCTCATCAATGGCCGTCAGCATGTTCTCATCCAGAATCACCTGCTTCTGATTATGATCCAAAAGCTCTGCATTGATGGCCTTGAACTCTGTCCGGTACACCTTCAAGTCCTCATAGATGCTACCAAGGCACAGGGTCTAGGTGAAGAGACAACATGGGAAAGATGTCATTGAAATGGGCTAGACCTACATCCCGCTGCTGCATTGGAGGGAAGCAGTGAGTCTTACCATCATCAAAGAAGTCCTTCTGGGGGGCAGGCAGCTCCCTCTCTGGAGGAAAGAATGAGCTGGCATCAATATCATGAATTGCTCATGGGGGAGGAACCTTTAGTTTGCTTACTTACTGTTAGGGAAGCAGTCTCTGTAGAAGCCAGACAACTTTCATTCTAGAGAAAAAACATACACCACAGATATTAATTCTTAGTACAAGTCTCTCTGATATTTTATCTCAAACTAACTTTTCATTACACTAAGAAGCATAGCAAAATTCACCACTGTAGGGACTTTTGTGTGACTGTAGGAATTCATGTGTGCACAAGTGTGTACGAGTGTGTGCAGATAGAAGCCAGAGGACCACATTTGGTGTTTTTCTCAGTCACTTCTCCACCTTATATTTTCTGATATGGGGTCTCTCAATGAACCTGCAACTCACTGATTCAGCTAGACTAGCTGGCCAATGAGTCCTGGGTATCTCCTGTCTCTGCCTATCCTGGCACTGAGGCTATGTGTGGAACCATCACACCCAGCTTTTGTGTGGTGCTGGGGATCTGAACTCAGGTCCTCATGCCTGTGCAGTAAGCACTTTACAACAGCTTCACCAGACCCATTTCTTTTTTTCTTTTAAAGACAAGATCTTACTATGTATCCCTCGCTGGGCTGGAACTCACTATGTATACCAGGCTAGCTTCTCTCTTAGCAGAGATTAGCCTGGAATTAAAGGTATATATCACTACTACACCCAGCTCATAGTTTCTGAGTACATCCTTCTGCTTGTTGAAGTATTCAAATTGTTGTGCTTTTTTCCCCCCAAAATCTCACTTTTGGTAGCTACCTGTAAATGTCTGGAGACAGCTTACATTTGGCACACAAATCTTGTGTTGCATTTCTGGGGGGAAAGACCTCTATACCTTGACTAGTTCCGGTGGTAAACAGGCCTTCAGTGTGCTGGTTTTGTCTGCTGTGATGTCTTCATGATCAATGTCTTCAGCAGTGCAGGGATAATGTTTCAGAATTTGTCTGGCCTATGAAAACCAGAAAGAGAAGCTGAGGTGATACTCTCAGCAAGACAGCTGGCTCCCTCTGAGGTTGGCACCCAAGGGCACCAGCAGTACTGGAAATGGCCACCCTGAGCCTTCATCTCTTTTACCTGTAGGAAATTCAGACTCTTCATACCATAAAAGGAAACAGGTCACCTACACTCTCTCCCTCCCCTCCCCCTTTGCCTAGGCTGTGGCCAGCAGGATATTTTTTTCCACCAAGTGAACACTGCAGCAGGTTGTGCTAATCAGCATCAGCGCCACACTGTGGTGCTTGCTTCCGGTGAATCCTGTTGTTTTCCTTTTGCCAAGCAGCTGTGCTGTATGAATATCTTTTTCAAGTATAACTTCCAAAGGGGAATTGTTAAAGTCACAGCTTGATGGTTGTAACAAACTTGCAAGCCCTAAAGACTAGTTGAGCTTTAATTTACAGTACACAGGGACTGTGTCTTCCCCCTGGTGTGTTGGGAAACAGCAATGAACAGAATTACACAACTTATTAAGAAGTCAACTGCTTTTTGACTGAAGGTTGAGATAATTTTCCCATTCAACTATGGTACTAGGGATGTGACAAAGAAGGGACAGTGATGTGCCCTACTGGATTCCAAGTTCAACTTGGTAGCAATAGTCACCCAAACTAAGACAAAACTGAATTCTGCAATGTCGTGATCTTTAGCAAAGTTGACTGGGAGTAGCAGAGTGGGCTCCTCCATGGAGCATCTAGTTACCTTTGAACTCCTCCAATGTCTCCATATCAAACCTCACCTTAGGAAAAAAGTCACTCATCTCTGTAGGCATTCCTCCCTTAAGATTTTTCCTTAATGTTAAAATTTCATGTGCTATGTGTTCTGCCTGCGTGTATATCTGTGTACCATGTGGGCACAGTGCCCTTGGAGGCCAGAAAATGACAGATTCCCTAGAACTAGAGTTACCAATGGTTGTGAGTCACCTTGGTAATGCTGGGAATCAAACTCAGATCCTCTGAAAGAGCAGTCAGCACTCTTAACCACTGAGCCCTCTCTACCTGGGAGCCCACACATAATTAAAATTGTTTGGTCATTGAAGAACAATAGGCAATACATTGTGAAAGATGAAAAGGGAAGGAATTCTCCAAGAAGGCCTTGTGGAATGCAGCTTATCTTGGGATATGTATAAGGTAACAAGCTAGAAGGTCCTCAAGAAAGATTTAAAAACACACCAGAAAGAAGGAATATCCCTCCCATTCTCCCTCCCTTCCTCCCCCCCCCTCTCTGCCCCTCTGTTCCTATGTGCTTAGGGCTGAATGCCCTGTTAAGGCTGGAACGGGTCCTCATTCATAATTAAGTAAGAACTCTACCACAGAGTCACAGCCCTAGCAGCTCCAGGGTATCTTGAACACATTATCATTTGCTGTAGCTTTGTAGCAAAAGTGAGAGAAAACGGTGGCAATTTTACAGCATATTTGCATTCAAATATGAAACCTAAGAAAAATGAATGGAGCTAGAAATAAAACTGGATCACACTTGCCCTTGAAAAATGAAGGCTGAATATGACACCTGGTGTCTCAGCCCTCCCTGAGACATGTCCATTCAACAAGGAACTGCATCACTGTGTTGGACATTGGTGAGCAGCAGGAGAGACAATCTAATTCATCTTCATAGCTTGTGAAACACAGAGATTACACCTAGTGACTGTCTCCCTGCTCAACCTGCAGTGGAGCATATGCAGGGAGCACCTGTCCTGATGCCATACACGCAGACAGGCTGGGAGGGGCACAGTGAGTAGCCATTTTCCTCTGGGTAGCCCCAACTGATGCCGTTATAATTTATTACTATCCATCCTTTCTTTCTCTGGAGACACAGTTTCCTCTAGATACTGTCTGGGAGGTTTGAAGTTTCCTGTACTGCTCCTGCCAGCTACCCATGAACTGTAGGCCCCCAGCAGACACCAGATGGGTAAGAAGTCCTTTCCACAGAGGAGCTTCCAATCCAGAAGGTCGAGAAACTCACCTTATCCAGCATATGGTTGGTGGTCCTCAGCAGGTTTTGGGAGCGGTCAAGACACTGGGCAGGTCTGGAGACTGGTGTGGCCCTGGCCAGACTGAGGTGGATTAGGAGGACAAGGATGGTCAAAAAGAGGAGGCCTGGAAGGGAAATGGGGGTGAGGTAGGTTGAGCTTGTCAGCCTGGTTCGGCGTGCCTCTGTCTTCAGCCATTCTGGGCATCTTTGCCATCCATTATTTTCTGGGTACTGACCTCCTTCCACCCATGTTTCAACCCCTTCCTTGGGGCTGACAGACTGAGCAAGACTCCCCAAATCTTGTTTGGGGACTGGATGAAAGTGTTTTCCTTACTCTAGCTCCAAGACTGTACCTTAGTTTTCTTCTGTGAAATGGGCATAATGGGCCCAGGCTGTTCTATAATGAAGAGACCATGCCAGGTACAGCAGAGATCTAGCAAAACCTCCCTCCTTTCTGTCTTCCTTCCTTTGGCCTTCAATTACTGACTGCCCTTTAGTCTCCCTTAGCGGGTCCATGGCTCTGCCCGCTCTTTCCCAGGCCACCCTCCCCGATCCTGTCACCCTGGTCCCCGGGCCTGGGTTACTTACAGCGCGATGGACACATTCTGGTCTGGCACTGAGCAGAGCAGCTGGATGCTGGAGGTGAGGCTGTTGCAACACTGACCCTGGGGGACACATTTTTATAATTGTCTGGAGACCCAGTAGGACTTTCCCAGGACGGTGTCTCTTGCTTTCTCTCTCTGTCTCTACACGAGCTTCTCAAGGACACGTGCATCGATCGTCCCCAGGGGGGTGGCGCTTTCGGATTAACTCTCGGAGTGCCCGTCTGCGAGGTTCCGGGACCGGCCCGCCGCCCACCCCACCCACCCGCACTCAGAGCGAAAGCGAAATACGCCCGTGAGTCGACTCGCAGCTCTTGTTCTGAAGCAGGTCTGTCCTGCCTCACTACACCCTTAGCCTAGATGCCCTGTTGCCACGGCACGCTGCCCAGCGCCCCTTCCGAAAAAGCAAGCGTCACCCACTTGTCTCAGCCGTGGACACTGAGTCTGATTCAATTTGCTTTGGGAATGTGTCTTGCCTTAAACATAAAAAAGGACAAAACCGGTGTGACTATGTACCGCTTAGGACTCAGTTCTGGCAGTTCTGGTTTAGTGCAATGGCTGCACAACATCCTGGGAGAAATGGCCCAAAGAGAGGAAGCCCATCTCTCTGCAGGAGCCTAAGGCTTTTGCAGCCTCCTAGCTCTGCAAGGAGGCATTTGGATTCTGGAAACAGGGATCAACACAGTAGGGAGGCAGAGGGGAGATAAGAAAAGGAATACTGCAAGCTGTGATGTGGGATGTATCAGGCCATTTCAGAGGTTGGGGATGACATCCTTAGCCTTTCTAGAGTTTTAGCGGAGAGATATCCTTGGATTTGCATGATGGGAAGATCCCTTCAGCAGCAATGTAGGGGCTGGACACCAAGGGTCCAACTCAGATCCAAGGGAGTAGATAGCAGAATAGGACCACACCATGGTCCCATTCAAGATGGAGAACAAAGGTGAGCAGAAGGGATTCCCAGCAGGGTGACAGGCTAAAGCTTGGTAACACCCATGCGGAATGGGAGCTTCCCAGTTCCTACAGCAGGGGTGTGAGAGTTTGGAGCTTGCAAAGACAGGTTGTATTTTGGAGGTTTGGGGTAGGAGGTTCCCTGGGGGCTTCACTAATTTCTACCCTAAGTCACTAATTTCTACCCCAAGTCAGTCTCACTGGGTGTGCAGAGAGAGGAAGGCCTGCTTGGCCATCGACTTGGAAGCCAGCCATGTGTCTGGCTGCCCCCAGACCTTTACAACGGGAGCTGTCAGAGCCCACCTCCTGTAGAGGCAACCACCTCAATAAGAAGCTGTTGGGAGCACAGAGGGAAGAATGGATGTTTCTTCCTTCTGAGGTCCACTGAGATCTAGACAGAGGAGGTCAGTGCCAGCTGCCACGCTGTGAGCGCTCAGAAGGGTGGACCTGCTGAAAAGGGGTAACAAGGTCAATAAGAAGGAAGCCATAGGAGCTCCGACCTGTAAGGTCCCTGTGGCTGTGAACTGGGGACAAGGGACAATCAATGGTCAGAACCAATGGTGTCATAATAGTCTATGTGAAGCTGTGCTTATGTCAAGAAGGTTAAGATGAAGTTAATGACACTTAAAACTGGAATGAAGTCAAGTTCATCACAACAGAGCTGTTCCTTTCCTGGCAGGCACAGCTCTTACAAACGAGTGATTCCTGCTACTCAGATGAGCCCAGAGCCTCTGTCAAGTGTGGGTTCTTGGCCACTAGATACAGTTTCTGACCCACACTTTTAAAATACGACTTTAAAACATTCTTGTAGAATCCATAATGCATACAATGTATTTTGATCCTATTTACCCCCATGCCTCCTTTTAACTTCTAGATCACTATCTACCTTCCACTCCCTTCTAATTATCATGTCCTAATTTATTTTTTAAAAATAACCCCTGAGTTTAATTTGTGCTGTTTATACACTCATAAGTGTGTGGCCATCCAAGGGAGCATAGTCACCTAACCAGAGGCCACACCCTTACAAAAACAACAAAACACATGAATCTCCCTTCTGAAGAAGACATCAACTGTCAACAGACCCTCAGCTAGGGGTGGGGTCTCAGGAGCCCCTGCCCACTCCATGTTGGAATGTTGAATGGGTGATCATGCAAAGGCCTTGTGCAGCAGGCATCACAGTTTCCATGAGTCCCTAAGTGCGGTGACCCTGTAGTGTCCAGAAACTATGTTTCTCCTCAGTCTTCCCTGACCTCTGCCCTTTACAATTTTCCACTTTTTCTTCCTCAGTGGTCCCTAAGGTTTTCGGTAAAGGCTGTCCCGATCGTGGATGAGAACTCCACAAGTTCTTATTCTCTGCATAACTTTGTCAAACACTTTCATCTATAATATTACACACACACACACACACACACACACACACACACACACACACACACACACACACACGCACGCGTATATATTGTCCATTAGTGCTAATACATAGTATTTAGCACTGTATTGGAGATGTAGGCAAATGCTGTAAGGAAAGAAAAACAAATGAGAGATTTTAATGATGGAAATGAAAAGACAAGACCATCCATCATTTTAACATAATTTGGTATAAGTTGAGCTGGGGGTACAGGATTCCAGCTACTTCTGAGGCTAAGGTACGAAGTTCAAGATCTGCCTGGCTACAGAGTGGCAGGCTACCCCAAGCAATTAAATGAGAGCCTGTCTCAAAACTGGAAACATTTTTTTTTAAAAGAGGGCAGGTAATATATCTCAGTGGCAGAGCATTTGCTTAGTACAGGATTATTTATGATAGTCATAGTTTTAGTCTTGAATGGGTTCATTAAGTTTATAGAAAGCAAAAAATAGAATAGATAGCAAGTGGCAGTAAAGACAGGAAGGAGGTAGGACTACATTATCAACTCAGGAATTTATACCATCCGACACAGATGGCTGGAGCAGTCTGGTTGAGAGAGCAGAAGAAATCAGGGCTTTACAAAACAGTCAGTAGAAATTGACTGGGGAAGTTGAGGCTCTCAGCTGGGGTTCCAGGTTGAGCTTTCTCTCCGTGAATCTATAGCTTTCTTAAATCTGCCTTGGAAAGAACTTAGCTATTAATTAGCTCTTCAAACAATGCCTGTTGTTTTTGACTTGATCTCATTTTAGGTTTTGATCTAGAACAGCTTAGGATTCTAATCAGACATATAGATAACCAAGCTCTTGAAATATCCTATGGGTTTTATGATGCTTTTTGGAATTTCCTATTCATTTCCAGGAATTGGGGTCTGGGTGTTTCCATCTCCATATTTCCTATCAGTTCAGTCTTATAGGTCACTAATACTCTCTTCACTTATGTTTTAACAATTGTCAGACTCATTTGTTGAAGGCTAATTTCAGTTACTGTCTTTCTTTTTGGTATTAGAACTTCTACTTGGTTTTGAAAATTATGTAGATTTTAGTTCCTTGTGCAATCCTCCTTCTTGTCATCCATTTTCTTTAGCATGTACAGTCTTTATATTCTGAATCTGATCATTCCAATATCTGGATTACTTGTGTCTGATCTTAATGTACATTTCTTCTCTTGACCCTGTCTCTCTCCATGACTAGTAATTTTTTATTGGATGGTAATGGTGGACATGAAAAATGGTTGGTGGTAAGTGGTGTTAGCAGTCGTGCCAAGAACAGAAGTCCTTGAATCCTCAGGGATTAACCTGCCTTGAGGCTTCATCTGTAAAAGCTACACTTGATGTATTTGTTCTTTCTAGAGTGCAGCTCCATGAGTTCCTACTGAAAGCACGAGGTGCTTCCCACATCCTCTCTGCTCAGGTGGGCTCAGAAACCAGTGTTCCTCTCCACAGGACCATGGTTACTTTTGCATAATTTCTTAGCCACTTTTTCTTCTCTGTTTAACACTGCTTACTATTAGGAAAATACACAGGAGCAAAGAGCAGCTCTTTCTATATACGAGTCTTCTCTTTACAACCTCCCTTCAGGATTTTGTCTGAAGTCCTAGTTAACTTGGTGACTCTGAATTTCAACTTCTTGTTTCTTCACTGAGCACCCCCAAGCAGGACTCTCTTTCTGGCTAGCAGCCATTTTCTTCTCAGCTTCTCAGTTTTCCACTCATACCCACTAGTCATATGACTTGGAAAATGCCTCAGTGGAAAGTGCCATTACATTTGGTCTTTCCAGTGAGATTCCCATTTTTCAAGGATCTTGGCTTTTCAAGGCCTGGGCTACACAGACAGCTCATCAATGCATTTGGAACAGAAGAAAAAAGAAAAGGAAATTGATTCTTCTAGCTATTTTTATGGAAGAATAGTCCCTCTGCAAGCTGAAAATAGAAGTGACTGGGGTAATGGTAGGGACAGACCCCAGGGCCTTGTAAGCCCCCTACCACTGAGACACTCTCCCAGCCCATGCAAACAGAAGTAACTCTGATTGTGGAATATGCTCTAAGTTCCAAAGTTGAAGCTTCAAAAATGCCCATGTTCTTTAAAAAAAATACGATTCCTGATATTCTCAGTACTAGGCAGGCTCTGATAGATGGAGATAATTACAACATAAGCCAATATTGTTGTTATTATACCTAAGATTATTAATTTTGATTGTCTGCATGATTGGATTAAGAAGTGAACAGGGGATTAGTGCAGTCCACCTTGAAGGTGTCTGTAATGATGCTTCAGAGACAACTGGGTCATGGGAGTTCTGGCTTAATCAATGGATTGATCCCTTGCTGTGTGAGTAATAGGATAGCATTATTGGGAGGTGGCAAAATGTGGAAGACTGGCACAACCAGAGGAAGGAGGTCATTGGAGGTTGGGGTTGGGATATCCTTAGGGTTATGTCTCATCTGGCTCTTTATTTCTGTCTTTTTCTTGCTTCATGTCTGTCAATCACATGGTCCTGTCACCATGACATTCTGCCTTATAATGATCCCAGAAACACAGAGTCGCTGACCATGGGCTGAATGTTCAGCAACCAGCCAAAACAGACCCGTCTTCCCTTAAATCCTTTCCCTTAGATATTTTGGTCAGTTTTGCAAAAATAACCAATTCAATTCTCACTTTTATAAGAAGAACCCGAGGCACAGGGAGTCTCAGTTAGTGTGAGCAACAGT